CTATAAATTTCTTTGTTCATATGTGAATTGCTATCAATTTTAGCTTCAACGATGTATCACAATTGATAATTTGACGTCCAATTGACAGAATACTCATTTGGAGTAAACGGAAAAGGTATTTTCTTAGTTGGATGGATGTACAGGGTGGGCCAAATTGGATACTTTTAAAGGGAAAGTACTATTCTCGAACCAGATGGAAGAAAACTGATGTCGGTGCCTGAGGGTCGATTCTCATGAAAAACTCGATGGTGAAATCCGCATATCGTTATTTGTCTTCGTTTCGGAGTAACAAGGTGTTTTTCGAAAATGGGCATTTTTGAAAAGTTGCTACGGATATTTTTTTGCCATAAATTGTCTGTTCTTATGAAAATAACTGCAAAGCATTGAGTTTGTGATGAAAATTGTTCTCGAGATACTGAAATTGGCCTTCCTATATATCTAGTTCTAGAATATAACTTGTTCTTCTTGAAAGAAAAGTTCTATTTTGCAACTAGGTATACGGTGACTGAATGCAGTGCCTGAGGATCAATTTTCATGACAAACACAATGCTTCGGAAACGTTTCCAGGAAAACGAAGAATTTTAGTTGAAAAAAAGGTTTGGCCACTTTTCAAAAACTCACAGTTTTAAAAAACACCTTGAAACTTTTAAATAAAGATAGATATCGATATGCGGATTTCACCTTTGAGTTTTGTTTTTTTCTATCTTGTACGGGAATATGACTTTTCCTTTGAACCAATTGGCCAACCCTGTACATACCTACAAACTGACTAGAAGACGCGTACACGAACAACTGTCAAAATAAACATTTCAAAATAAATGAGCTACACCGGATACTGTTTCCTTTGAATTTTGTAATTTTGGAAGTATTACGTAGGTATATCAAAATATCAAGTGTGATACATCGTTGAGGTTGAAATTTATTGCACTTCACTAATAATCAACAAAAAATGTTACTTGAAAAAATCAAGTTAGGGTGGTTTTTCAGGAGTAGTTTGATAGAAGTTGACTTTGACACAATGCCTTCAAAGTCATTTGAGTTTGACAAAGGTGTAATTTTCTATAGTTTTTTTCCAAGTATCATATAACTGAGATATTGGTTGTATGAAAAGATTTGGAACACTTGGTATATGAATTTTTCGACTTTGTTGCATAATGATCTGAAATATCGGATGAATCACTCTCATTTCTATATGCTTTATAACAGATATGAGGTTGGAGCGAGGGGGTAACCACTGATGATCAACCTGTCCCACTGATTTCATGATTACATGGTGATTACATGGGATTTCATGTTGATTTCATGGGATTTCATGATGATTTCAAGGATTTCATATTGATTACATGATGATTTCATGGGATTTCATATGATTTCATGGTGATTACATGATGATTTCATGAGATTTCATATGATTTCATGATGATTTCATGAGATTTCATATGATTTCATGATGATTACATGATGATTACATGAAATATAGGGTATACCTATGCGATAAGAAAATTTCAACCAACAGCCGTGTGGCAACGATAATTTCCGTCATGAAGTCAGTCATGACAAAGATAATGATGATGATAATATTATTCCTGTGACTAACAGCGATTCAATCCTTATTTCCAAGAAATAAAGTTTGCTCTAATCTTAATTGACTTCTTCAAAGTTGAAAGCACATTGGAGAATCTTACAATATGGAATGCAAAAATATTCTCGTGATATTTAAAATGTCCCTATTACACCCGGTATTGTTGAATTTGTTATATTTTTCTGGACACCCTATATTTATGAATGTTTCACCCTGTATACTTCGAATCAGCTCACCAAGGAAAGCCAAGAAATTAAAAAAATCAAAGAAACTATCGTTTTTAAATTATGTACCCTGTATACATTGTGCCCACTTTAAGAACTTACCACCCCTGTCAAATCGTTATTATCAGATAGATTTCAAAAAACGTAGCTATTTGAAATGTCCTGCGAACAAGATAGTGATTTTATTCTTGGATCGAAGTACTTTCAGGGATTTTTTTTCACTAAAAATAATAATGGATACTGAACCAGGATCACTCGAAACCTACCTGTACCGATTTTCATGATCATATAACACAGGGTGCCCGAAAAAACAAATTGTAATTATTTTTGAATTGAAATTGTCTACTTATCCTTTTTAACTTTTTCTCACTGACACATAGTATATTTGGATGTTAAAAATCGGTACAGATATGTTCGAAGAAGTCTCCTAAAATGATTTGTCATTATATATAGTTCTTCCCAAAAATACCGCAGTACTACATTTTCTGATCACGCGTATTGAAAAAAAATAATTCGTTTTTCCAGACACCCTGTGTTTCATGATGATAAAATCGATACAGGCATGTACCAAGTGATCCTGATTCAGAATCCATCATTATTTATTTTTCTCGTTATTTTTTATTTTGTAACTACTTAATTGCATTTTTTGAAATATGGGTCAATGAAATAGGTCGCAGTTGGCCACGTTAACAATCCAGGAATACCTAGGTATCGAACAAAACAAGTTTTTCGAAGTCGTTCATATCATAACGATTTTACAGGGGTGGTAAAGTGGACTCACTGTAGATATCGAATTGTCTTGTGAAAATACAGTAAATAGAAATCAAAAATCAAACTGTCTCGGAAATTCATGTAAAAATCGATTCATTCTGAAATTTCACGGACGAAACACGAAATTTGTTTGGCCACCGATTAGTATCTATCAGTTTGATTTGATGCAACTATTGCAACTTGTTCATTCGAGAATTCATTTTTCGAATCAGCTCGAAAGGAAAAAGAAACAATATGGTTCACCCTGTATAGTGTGTTAGAAATTTCTACTGAAATTGTTTGTTTATTTAAAATGTTAAAATGAATTCTTTTATATAGTTCACGAACGATAGCAGACGAAATTTTTTTGACCACCGAGTATGCCATATTGCTCGACATTGAAGCAACTTGTAATAGCTCGTGTAAAAGGTACATTTTTTAGTCAGCTAAGCAAGGCAAGCCCAAAGGTTGAAAGAACTGTCAATATGATGTAATCACTCGTAGATGGTTCACTCTGTATATTGAATTATCGATGTGTCTCAGAAATTTCTATTGGAATTATTGTTTGTTAAGCTAAAATGAATTTATTCGTAATTTAACGAAAATTTGTTTGGCCTCCGAGTACCAGTTTGAAGCACCAAGGTCAAGGCCGAAGGCGCCGCTGTCGCTTGACACTTGTCCCCATATTGTTTACTTCTGATGTGGCAGAGTATATATGTTAATCATATCTAGGAAATCTTGCATTTACTTCTGATGTGGCAGAGTATATATGTTAATCATATCTAGGAAATCTTGCATAAACAGGTCTTATTTAGGTATACTAGCAAAACATGGTAGCAATGCAAAGAAATCCGTCTAGTAACGGCATAACGGTATAGGGCGAAAAAAACTCACCGCGTCTTCCGCTGGGTCATCCGTCCCTGTCGATCTTGTTTACAATTCAAGGTACCTATCCCGCTCTAGATTATTATTCAGTTCGGATCGCAGTCAACAAAACACGCACCCTGTTACACAAGTACTGTGTGGCTATGGATTTCAAGTGGAGCAAAACCAAAAAAATGCCGAAGAACAACGATGCTTTACGATTTGGAAACAAACCATGATTACATTGTGATTTCATCATGAGTTCGTGCTGATTTCATGCTGATTTCATACTGATTTCATGATGATTACATGGTGATTTCATGCTGATTTCATACTGATTTCATGATGATTACATGGATTTCATGGTGATTACATACTGATTACATGATGATTACATGGATTTCATGATGATTACATGCTGATTACATGATGATTACATACTGATTTCATCATGCCTGTCCCAGGATTTCATGAAGTGGTTACCCCCTCGGGTTGGAGTTGAAATATTTTTAACGAAAAAGTTGAATAATTCAAGATATAGCTCTGAGATTTTGAGAAGATACATATACAGCGTGAGTCATTTTCTTGTAGCAGATCTTCAACAGCTTGAAAAACATATGTATGGCGATAGGACCAAATATGCCCCAATGAAATATTGCTGTGGAAAAATATACAGGGTGTTTCAATCCAAAATGTATCGACTATAAACTCGCACCAAAATTCATTCATTGACAAGAAATGTAATTTGCCAGCAACAATTATCAGACAGTCTAAAGCACAATATTCATAATGGAAATAATATTTGAAATCAAGTAATCAACTCACCACACAAAAAATGCAACATTTTACCCAAAGTTAACTCATACGGTTGTTTTCAGCATAGTTGCAGATCATTTTATTTTTTTTCGAAAAAAATTTGTTTGTTAGATTCACAACAATCAGAATCACATCAGTGACGTAGAAAACATGAGAGAGGAATAGATACCACAACCTCCTCTAGAGCGACACTGGAGAAACGTCCTAAATGATTGTCTTGTCAAACATTTACGAATTTGAAGAACCATGTACCGAATTTAATTGCAAAAAATTCAACTGTCTGTGACTTATTGCAAAAAAGTTTCCATTTCTCAACTTCAACCCCCGTATCACGAGAAATGAATACTTAGAAGACCTTTTATGCTTACCTTAGTCACCTGTGAATTGTTGTCCGTAGAATTTCGCACCACCCTGTATTTAGTGTTAGCGATTCCATATCGAATAATCGAAATAATACTCGAGCAAGAGGTCATAAAATCAGTTTTTGTTTGTCAAGATCAAAGATTCGCTTCTCCGCTTTTTTGTTTTTTAAACGGAAATGGGACGCTTTTATCTACTACTTACTGGATACCCTGGATATAAAAAAATCAAAACTAGTACAAAAATCAGCATTTTATGGTATCAATAATGCTTGAATGTAGAGATACGTATTTGTGGTGCCATATACAGGGTGATCATAAATTGATGAGTTTCTCAATAACTGACCAATTGATTGGTATCATTTTATATAAACAATAAAATAAATCGAGGTTATTTATTTGCAGATAAAATTTCACCTTTAAAACTGGCCCCAGGCGAAGAAGGTATAAAATGCGAAAAACTAAAAAATAACAAATTAATACTGGGTGAACTAATCTAACTGTCCGGGGTCGGGAATTGCAATCTTTGTAAATGTATACGTCTTTTGTGTTGTCAAATTGCTTGTGAATCAACCAGGACTCCAAGTCACTGAACAAAAACAAACCAAAAATAAATAGTGAAAAAGGCATTCGTTGCTCGAGCACCCTGTATATGATTTTCGAATACCTACTTGTAACCTTGTACTATATAAAATTGTGCGGGTATAGCAAAATAAAACACATTTAAGTTGTTGCTATTTGCAATAAGCGGAATAGTTGTTTACTAAACAATTGGGTGATTATCAAACAATAGACTTTGGAAGAGATAATGATGTTTATGTTCATAATAGCCTCAAAACGTATACTGTAAAATGTACACCACTGCTTTGCCTGCCATAATATACTAACTATGGTAGAGTATCGGCACTTCCTGTAACTTGATAAATTGGGAACATTGTTTTGTATGCACTACCTACGGGTTCATTCATGATATCAATGGGAAAATATACAGAGTATCCCACAAACAACATACGCTACCGAATTACCGATACAACACGTCTTACAACAATGGTGGAGACAATAATCAATCGTTTGTGGAGTCATTGATACATTTACAATTTGTCTTTACCCCTTGACAATAACAGAAAAAAACGTCCTAGGCTGTTGGGTGGTTTTTAAAAGCTATAGGTGTCCTGCTTATACCCAGGATTACTATACCATGTTTTGGTTAGGTCATTCCTACATTTTCCGTTACTTTATTAATCTTCGAAACCTTATCATTTTTGCTAAACGATTATTCAGGTGGAGATTCAAAGCATATTTTCGATGGTGACTGAAAAATTACATCAGACCCAAGAAAGACTCAAGTTGGTTAGATTTTATCAACTAATGAGACGTATGAATATTACAAATGGTGTAAACAGGCGATTACCACAAATGGAATAGTGTAAATATGACCACCCTGTATGAATTTTATTGTCACACATAATTCCTGATCTTTAAATTCACACCCCTTCTGTTTTTAACAGGTGGGGGGCAGAAATTATATTTCTAAACCAATGGACTGTTTGAGCAATAGCCCAAAAATACGCCACAGGCAAACATTTTTTCTTGATCAAGATAGGTATCTATGGATATGGCCGAGGATGTGGCATAGCTCTTGCATCAGACAGAAGGGCTTGAAATGGAGTAGATACTTGAAACTCGTCCATATAGAGCGGAAAATCTTTGTAATACTTTGCATATTTCCAAAAATAGGATTTCTCTCTCGTGCGATCCAATAGATTGAAACTTTTATCAAATCATAATATATAAACAATGGTTGGCGAAAAAATTTGTTTAATGACGAATGAGCCAATTTTTTTTAATATTGTACTCCGAAAGCTCTACACCCTGGTATGCATGATTTTAAGATTCACTTTTCCACTCGCTTTACAAAAAATAAGACCCGAAAAATCAATATCGTAACTTATATACTGAGTGTGCTACTGAGTTTCACTCGAGGTTTTTCTCGTAGTTTCATGCAACTATTTATGAAGCTAGCAGAACCACTTTGGACTTGGTGTAATTAGTTTTGTCATTGAACTTTTTATTGATTCGCCAATGGTTTGTCATGTTTATGTTGACTTTTTTCGAGAATTTTTGCAAAAAAAGATAACAAAATAATCTATGACAGGCTCAACAAAGAGCCCTAAAATAGCCTTCAATTATGGTGTATTCAATATTCCCTCTATTTGAGATTGATGTGGTTAATGGTAAATAGCAATACTCATGGATTTGAAGAAAAACAATGTGAGAAACAATCGACAATAGGCTAGGATTGGAGCCTTAAATCAGCCTTAAACTATGGTATAATTATAGATTTGTAAATGAATTTTCATTCACGAAGTGGTTTTGCAGCATTCAGCAGAAACCACGTGTTTTTGCGTAAATCGAAGAGCAATAAATTCGTCAATCCGGTAATAAATTAGCCGTATATTAACCTCAAAATTAAAAAAAAATTAAAAATCCAAAGTGTTTCGATCTTCTTTCTTCTTTCCTGTTTGTTTTTTTCCCGAAATCTACCACTGTTGTTTATTCTCTGAACATTGTGTGGAAATGACTTTGAGCTTTTTGAATATTTCGTAGTTGAAATTACGCCAGTCGGGCAACCAGCCACTCCCGTATGAAAATTTCAGTTTTGGAGTGCTTATTTCCTTCTCTTCTACTCAGATGGCGTTGCTTCCATATTGTCTATGCAAGACGCCTTTGGGGCAATATAATGCCGACTTGATATTTGTTTGGCTAGACTACGCTCAGTAGGCGGTCTTAGGACTGCTGGCTGAAGAATGCCCTGCAAAGATGAAAGTTAAAGAGCTCGAAACGGGTCTGTAGGTGTCTATAGCGTGGCCTGGCTAAATCGAAATCAATAGGCATTCAGGAAAGAATCACTTATATCAGTATTCGTGTTTATACGTGTCGATGCATGGATTTCGGAAGAATGTAATTCAATGTTCTGCGTGGCATTAGCCAGGAAAGTAGTTGTTTTTCTTCCGAAATCTACCATTGTTGTTCATTTTATGAACATTGTGTGGAAAAGACATTGAGCTTTTTGTATTTATTCAACATTTCATTCCACTTTGAGCATTGTGACTATTTCGTTGTTGAAAAATATGTCTGGTTTGAAATGTGTAGGGAGGGTTCTCTGGAAATTCACAGATTTTCTTTTTCAAAATAACGTATCAACTTCGGATTTTCAAGATGTTGCTTAGATGCAGTCAGAACTTATTTTTTCCACAAAAATCAGGAATCTCGGTCTAGAACCTAAAAATTTTTTTTTTGTTTTACGGAAAAATCAACTTTGAACCATGTAAATGTAAATTGGGGACGGAGAAATTGGAGAAATGCTCTAATTTTTTCCATTACTATCACATAATATACAAATATAAAAGTTTTCTGACTCAAAAACCTGCACTGTTTTTTGATTAGTTGATGTTATTGTTCAAAATTCAGACCTGGAAAGTAATGTTTTTAGGGGATTCGGATTCATTAACATTAGGGCCTGAGCTCACTTCCTTCTAGAAATAACTAATTATGGATTGGATTGGCGTTTTCAGTAAATCATCACACATGTGTTCTACAGATTTACAAGCACGCTTTTTTATCTCCACGTGCTCAGCTGCCAGGTGTGAGAAATACGAACAGTTTTTTTATGATTTGTTACACAGCATACAGGGTTATCCATTCAAGGAGGCACATACAGGGTGGTCAGAACTTAAAACCTCTCTGATAATTGATTTAATCGTGATTACTTGTGCCTATTAGTTTGTAGCTATAGCTATATGCAACATCTTTACCTTTTTTGTTCAAAGTAACTTGAATGGTTGACGAATGGTAACACCATCCCCATATACGTTTATACCGTATGGATAATATTTGGTATGCTTACCAGGACGATCTGTGCAAATTCAGACCAAATTGGTTTTATTATAATAATTATTTTGAGGTTAGGCTGGGGAACTCTACTTGCATACGTAAATAATGAAATATTTTCTACTTGCAAAATCCGAAATTGGCACAAGTCAGGTGATTATCGATGAAATATTGTGCTGAGTCTAAGTAATCATGAAACAACAGGAATTTACTTCCTTTTTACCCATGTAGACGCTATACCAAAGCGTTCACACCGTTCTTGGTCATCATAGGTATACGGATAACTTTACCACCAATAAGTGTACAGTTTATACCACACTGACCAAGAGTATTCAGTAAGAATAGAGTCATTAGTCAGCTTACCAAGAAACGATATATGAAAACGTGACCATCACCTATGAGTTTCCAAGGTAATAGATCAAACAAAGGAAAAGGAAAATATCTACTGTAGAAATCTATAATGTCTCAAAGTGGAGTGAAGTAGTTCCTATAGTAAGAAAAATACTACAAGTCGACTCCACAACGCTTATGCTGCTTTTCTGCACACTACTACAGGCTCTGTAGGCTATGTATTATCCTATGTTTATATAATGTAACGGAATAGGTATTCTGCCAGTTTGATATATTTCTATAAAATGGCATTACATTTTATGTAACATTCTTAAAGGCCCGATTTTCTAATCGTTGAATTACTAAACTTTTAATAATATGGGTAATAGTAATACTATGGATGATATAAGACATCTTCACATGTTTGGTTTCATCATTCTAGACGAAGTTGGGAGGTATAGGAATTTCAATTGTTATTCATCAACAATAATATCAATCAATTTTAGGAATAATATGATAATCACAGATATTAAAAGTGTATATTAGTCAACTGTATAATTGTATAATTGATATAGATAATTACCCTTCTGAAGAATCTATTTTCATGAGTATTTATTCAAACGAAACCTGAAAGAATCTGTGAGTACGTCTGATACAGTCTGAATCATGCATACCTTACATAAATATCTAAGCTACATAGATGGTCGGCAGAATTTGCTTTATGAATGCGGAGGGGACATGTTTCGAATCTATGATTGTGGAAACATGGAAAAGTCGAATTGGAATGTCTTTGGAAATTACAAAGATAATTCGTTAACAGTTCATGAAATACAAATTTTTGTAAACAAGAGAAAAACTCAAAGCCTCACTCCAAATAAATTTATAATATTTGCTACATGTTTCGACTCCTGGGAGTCATCATCAGGCTTCTTGAAGAGGAGGAGAAAAAAACTAAAATTAACAAAATTTTATGGTTTCGTTGATTAACTCCATCAAGCCATATGCGTTCAATCATGGTTAATTTTCTGAAATAGAAAATAAGCAACTAGAAATGTTCATCAGGGGGTTCAAAAAGCCTGATGATGAATCTTAGGAGTCGAAACATGTAGCAATTATTATAAATTCATTTGGAGTGAGATTTTGAGTTTTTCTCTTGAATATCTCATCATGCACCTCCAATATAAGCATGGACTACTACCAGAGACTTATATTTGTAATTTCCA